GACCTTCTCCAGGGAACAGGGCCCCAGACCTCCGGGCAGAAAGCACTGGGACCCCAGAACATTTCTTAGAAAAAGAGGAGAAGTGACATCAGGTCCAGGACGGCTAAGCCCCCACAAGCCTGGCCCCCACCAGTAGTCCTGTGATATTCATGTCTTGACCATTGGGCCACAAGGAGGGGCCACTGCAGACCCGGCTACTCTTGAAGCCCAAGAGAAGACCAAGCAGAGGTGCTGGCACAATCTGAGGAGTCCCTGGGGCCATGCCACAGACAGGTTGCTGGGCCCAGCAATTGGGAGGAAGAGCCCCACCTGAAGCTCACGTTCAAAGACTGTTGAATCTGTCCTTTTTATAGAGTATGTAGCCACCAGGTGGCAGCCAAGGCTACAGGCAGGCAGAGGGAAAGAAGCCTTTGAAACTGAAGGCCAAAGGGAACAGTGATGTTCAAGGAGGCTCATCACTGACCCCAGAACCTTCAAACCAAGGGAGACAGAGAACACGTGTGTGTGCATCCGTGTAAGGTTGAGAAGTATGGACAAACATACAGCTGCACGGAGGACTGGCATTTAGTCCCCTTCCTTTGGGTCTCTTCACCTCGCCCTGGGTTTCCCTTCCCTGGAGTCCAGCCCTGCCCTGTCCTGGTGTTGGTAATGCAGAGGGGTGTGAGCCAGGTCCTACCCTTGAGGAGCTCCCAGACCTAGGGCAGGGGCTGGGCAGAGACAAGGAAACAGATAACACGATGGGGAGGGGTATGCAGACAGGGAGGGAAGTGCAGGGGCTGCAGCTGCCCAGAGGAAGTCCTTAACCCAGGGATGGGGGGAGGGAAGGTTTCCAGAAGAGATTTCTAAGCTGACCATAGAGGGATTGCCGGCAAGTCTCAGGTGCAATAATAACACATATATTATTTCTGTTTCTTCCCAACAACCCTGCAGGAAAGATACACAGAGCCAGTTTCACTGACAAGGGAATAGAGAATCTGAAAGGCTAGGTGGTCCCACAGGTAGTGGGATGCAGAGCTGGAATTTGCAAGAGTCTGTGTGATTCTCAAATTCTTGGCCACTGTGCCAACTGCCAGGGACCTGACTAAGGAAGGAGTAAGGGAACGAAGCTAAGGAGTGGGAAGGTGGGTGCCTCCCACCCTGGTCCTTGAGCAAGTTCTGACTGCTCGACCCATCTGACTCATCTGTGAGGTTGGTCCAAGAGGACAAGGCAGAGTGTGTGTAACTCAGGTCTCATCTCCCATCACCAACCCCACACTAAGCTGGAGAAGGAGAGTCCTGATCTCTTGGATCCTCGAAGCACAATAAGCAAACAGTATTTCTGCTCATGTTACTCTGAGGATGAGGGACGTAATCTTGAAAATCTTGACCACTTGATACTCTACCCTAAAAGGGATAAGACTGTGGAAGTAGACGAGAACTCTCAGACTCTTTTGGAAACCAGTTCCAGCTTGGAAGTTCCTCTTCAGGTCTAACTGAAGTAAGCAGTGCTGCAATCTACCTTCAACTGTGCAGCCCTGGGTGGAGGCTTTCCATGACTGAATTTGGGTGTAACCTATAATGTAACCCTGTGAAATTCACACACTTTAGTTAGGGGAGAAAAAAGAAAGGTGCAGGTCTCGGTTCAGGAAGCAGGAAGAGCAAGAATGACCTAGAGCAGTAAGACAAACTCCTGGTCCTAGAGCTTGGGCCTTGGGAAGCATGAGGGCAATTCCCAGAGAGCTGGTGGAAGGGAGCAGCAGGAGACAGTTGCTGCACAACACAAAGAAGTGAGACGCGCCGAGGAGGGAAGGGGAAGGGACGTTCCTGACCAAGGGGTGGCTCTTGTTGCAGAGGTGGGATTGCACCTCAGTCTTCTGAGCCTAAGGGCAGCTTGGAAGGTTGGGACAGGTAGGGAGGGGGCAACAGGGAGAATGAGCTGGAAACAGAGAAGGGATGCAAGGGCAGAGAGAGGACTATGGGCACCAAGCTCCTGTAGAAGGAGGAGAAAGGGGAGAGAGGACTAAGAGAGACAAGAAGACAGAGATGAAGAGACAGGCCAAGAGACACACTCGGAGAAGAAGGCTGAGAAACAGAGAGAGGCTGAGAGATACCAAGACTGGGTGGGAGAGGCTCTAAATGGGGAGAGAAAAGGCAGGGAGGGAGCAGAAAGCAGGGAAGGACAACCCGCTCGCCGACCCAGCCCACCGGTCCCGCCAGGTCTTTCCCCCAACCCCGTCTGTCAATCAAGGAGCGGAGAATCCCCTCCCCCAGGGCCGGGGAGGAGCGCTCGCCTCCGCCCCCGCCCCGCCCGATAGCCAGAGGCTCCTCCTCCCCAGGCCCCCTGAGCAGCGCCCCGTCGGGACTTGCTGCGCTGACCCGATAGATGGTAGGGGGCCCAGCTGGTGCGTTATCAGCCTCCTCCAGGAGCGAGCCTGCGCCACGCAGCGGCTGCCAGGCTGAGATTAGGCCCCGGGAGGGTCATTAGGCGGCTGCCCTGGCCTGGGCCCAGCCTCCTTTCCCTCCCCGATCTGGCCGGGCTGGCAGGTGGGAACCAGCGATAAGGATTGGGGGAGTCGGGTGTTTCTGGGGCTGGCAGCTTCATGCTCCCAGCCCCCTGTCAGGGCAGGAGCGTACGGCTGGGATGGGGGTAGGGGGCCAGCCCAGCGCCTGCAGGGACCCCCAGGCTTCCCACCGTCGTGGTCTTGCTCAAACTGAGGGAGCCAGCATGACGAGGGGGTTAAGGAGGCTCCCAGAGACCCCCCCACACACAGGATACAGGATCGCCCCCAGGAACCAGGGCAAGACAGCGGCTGCTAGGGAACAGGTGAGTAAGGGCAAGAGCAAGCCCCTCCCGGTAAAACCTCAGGTGTGGGTGGCTGCGCTTCACCTTGCTTCAAGGAGACAGGTGGATGGTGGCTCTGTGGTCAGGCCAGGCCCTGTCAGGTCGGTGGGATGGGGAAGAGACCAGACTCCACATCCCCCACCCCCTCCCAGCAACAGAGGCCAGAGGTGGGAGGGAATGGGGCCTCGAGCAAGGAGAATCAGACTAGGAAGCCAAAAGGTCCACATCAGGAGGCTGGAAAAGAAAAAATGGGGCGGGGGGTGGGGTGCACCTTAGCAGGGACCTTGCCCTCTAGGAACCTCTGTCTCTCCTTCAGTAAGTGAGAAGCTGGGCTGGCTGGCTGCCTGGCTCTACTCTCTAGTCTAAACAAGGAAGACTTCCCAGAGGAAGGGAAACCTTAGCTACACCAAGAAAAAGGAATAGGCAAACTAAACTGGCAAAGGTGGGGAGAGGAGAAGGCATCAGTAACAGAAAACCACGTGAGCAAAAGTTTAGAGTAGGAATCACAAGAGCAACAGCCACAATTTAAGGTGAGGCCCAGAGAGGGGAGGCACCTTGCCTGAGGTCACACAGCAAGGCAGTGGTAGGCCCGTCTTCCCTCTGCTGCAGCCTGCACCCCAAGCCCAGTGAGGTGAGAAGGGATAATTCTGATTTAAGGTGGCTCTCCCCCAGGGGTATGTGGGTGAAGCCTTGGAACAGCAAAGGAAGGGCCACAGTGGTGAAGTGTGGGCACTGTGACCAGTTTGAACAGGTGGCAGAGAGAGATCTTGGTACAAAGTGGACTGTCTCCTACCTTCTTGCCCCACCCCCTCCAGATCTGGGAGTGCTCCTAGGTGAGTCTGTCTCAGGTTGTCACCCCAAAGAGAGAAACAGAGGCTATTTCTGTAAGACCGACAGTCCCAGAGAGGCGAGGGGCCTCCAGGTCCCAGGCTAATGTGACTCCTCTCTCCTCTCCCTCCTGCTTCATTCCCACTAGTCCCAGTGCCCTGGCCACCACCACAACCAAGACTGAGAGGCGTGTTGGTGAGCACTGGATTGCACTCCAGCTCTGTCATGAGACTGGCCAAATCCTCCACAGAGGAGAAGCTGAGGCTCAGAGAGGACAGTGACTCTCCCAAGGTCACACAGCAAGTCGGCAGGGAACCCAGGACTCAAATCTGGGCTCCCCGAGTCCTAGCCCAAGACTCTTCTCTCCTGGCCCATTCAGAGGGGCTGTGGGGCTGGAAGATAGAGCTGGAGCAATGAGAAATGATTCTAGAATATACCACAATGCCAGGCAGCATGGAGGCATGGGAGGGGAGGGGGTTGCAGCATGAGGAACTGCCCAGAATGCCAGGTGTGCAGGGTGAATCAGTCTTGGCAGATGGGGGGACTTGTAAGAGGGGCTTTGCCTGAAACAAGGGGTAGAGGAGCTGAGCTCCTGGCCCCATGAGGCCTTCTGAAGAAGTCCCAAGGCCTCTAACACCCTCTTCCTGCCCTACTTCCATGAAAGAGAACCTGGGGATGCTTCTTGAGATGATTCAGCTCACATCGGGATCTGCCCTCTGCTGGGAAGCTCTCCTGACTGCTCTGGACTGGACCACTGGACTGCTCTGGCCAAAGAGGGGGTTTGGCCTGGCAGGACAAGGAGCACTGTATTGTCAGGGATGGGTTCGCCTGTCCCTGGCCTTCCTGCCTGCCAAGCTCTCCCACACACATGAGATAGTGGACACTCCCAGTCGTGGGCACTTGCACACTCAGACATGAGAAGAGACAGACACTCTTTTCAGATTCAGACAGCAAAGCCCAGCCTCACTGGCAGTCTGAGGGGCTGTTTCTTAGCCCTGGGAGCCTCAGCCCCAGAAGTAGAAAAGTCTTTATTTCCCAGAAATAAGGGCCATTTCCACAGTTATGGGGAGATGTGAGGCAGGATAGGAGATACTGGACTGACTTGTCTTCAGAAGGCTCTTCTGAATCAGGTGGGAGTCTCCCTGGGAGATCCCTGGGCCACAGCCAAGCCCCAACCTGGACACTGTCTGAGCCCCAGTGTTGGCTGCTATAACTCAGGGAGGGTGGGACTGGCATGGAATTGGAGGGAGTCAGCCCCTTACTGTAGATTTCTGCACAGAGAAGGTGGTGGAGTTGAGCAGCAATCACACATGCCTGGGAGCCTTGGAGCAGGGGACCAGGAGAGCAGGGGTCACATGGGGGTGCTCCGGACCTTGCCCTCCTCCTCGGGGATGTTCTCATAGGCATTCTCCTGCTCACTGGACCTGAAAGAGGATGACAGGGGCCTGGTGGACTCATCACCCTTCCATCCCATCCCCTTCTCCCCACCCCATCCTGCACTTGTGAGGTCAGTATTTTCTAGAATACATGTTTGACTCCCAGAAGAGAATTCCCCTAACCACACCTAGTCTTACGCACCTGAGACTAGAGACCTCTCAGCGCCACCTCCCTGAACCCCATCTCCCTCTGAGACCCCTCTTCCACTGACCCTCCTCCCATTGAGTCCCCTTACCACTTACAGTCTCCTCCCCCAACCACTCCTTCACTGAAGCCTCTTCCCCCATTGAGCTTTTTTGCGCCCTGTGCCCACTCCGCTACTGAGTCCAATCTACTGACTGAGCCTCTCCCCCACCGAGTCCCCATCCCCTTACTGAGCCCTGTCCCCAAACTGATGTTTCATCTCCCGTGGAGTTCTGTGGTCCTCATAAAGCCCCATCCCCTCATTAGCCCCTCCCTCACTGAACCCTCCCTCTTCACTGAGCCCATCCCCACCATGAGTCTCCACCCTCCCCAGCCCTCTCCTCCTCAGAAGTACCTGGTATGAGACCCCCCCTTGGGGCCCTGGAGCACAGAGCGGTCAGCCCTGTGCCAGCACCTCACCTGAAGCTGGCCGCCATCGAGCAGTACCGTCCATCTGTCCCTGCCAGGATCCCATCCTCCTTGTTTCCAGTGATCATGACCATGTTCGTGGGTTCCCTGGGAACAGGGCACATCAGTAGGACTCCTGGGCCTCCACCTTCCAGCCCTCCCCCACACTCAGGCCCTATTCCAGGAACTGGCTCTCACAAGCCCAAGGGGCGGAAGCTACCCCTTTACAGAACCAGCTGTCTCCAGCAGGACCCCTGTCAGCAGGCTGATTCGGGTCCCACTCCCATGGAAACTCACACCTTTCCCCCTGCATTACAGTGGCGAGGGGGTGGGGGTGGGCCTCAGATTTAGGCCTGCGATTTGCAAAAGCCTTATCCTAAGTCTACAGCCTGTCTCCAGCCTCCTCCCAGCCTCCCTCTGCCGTTCCCATTCTGGCCTCAGCTCAGCCCCCAGAGCGGACTCAATGTCCACCCCAAATTTCCTCAGGGCTTTCCTCGGGCAATAGGAGCCGGTAGACTAGTGGCCACTGACGGCAGAGCTGGGGCCAGCGGAGAAGGGAAGCATTTTCTAACAAAAAGCTCCTCACCTCGTACTCGAGTTTAAGCCCACTGCAGTGTGGCCTCTGCCCCCACCACCTCGTAAACTGCTCTCTCAAAGTTCACCAGTGACCCTTACATTCCTTGGCCATCCCACAGGCACCTCAGACGTCATATGTCCCAAATTAAACTCAGAAGTGGCCCCCAAATCTCCTCCTCCTCTTGTGTTCTGTGTCTCAGTGAGTGGTCCCCAGTCAGAAACCTGGATGTCACCCCTGGCCTTCCTTCCCTCCTGCCCTCTGTGATCTCCATCCACCAACTCCCAGGGCATCCTAGACAGCTCTTAGACCTGTCCGCTTCTCTCCAGCCACGCTGCCACCTCTACAGTCCAGTCTCTCTTCTGGCCTCATGCACAGCCTCCTCCCTGGTCTCCCCGCCTGCAGACTGGCCCCTCCTATTCAGCCACCACATGACACCCAGAGTGGCTCTGCTAAGTCCCACATCTCAGCCTGAAACAGCTTAAAAACTTTTCAGTGAATTCCTATTGTACTAAGGATACAGTCCGAAGTTCGAGTCATTGGTATACAAGGCCCTGCTTGACCTGGTCTCTGCCTCATCACCAGCCTCATCTTGGGCCTTTCCCATCCCTGTTCCCACCCCCACCCCACCCCCACCCCACCCCAACCACACTGAGCTGCTTGGGTTTTTCTAAGCCAGCCATGCAGGCTGCTGTGAGGATTGGAAAGATTCCCCTCTGGACAGGTGCAACTTACCCCAGCACAGCTGGATGGATTTCAGCTGCACCCCTACCCTATCTTTGCACATCTGCACTCAGCAGCCCTGGAGTCATGCCCCTAACTCGGCACCCCAGGTGTCCTCTTCCCTGGGACTGCAACACTCTTCCCACCTGGCTCTGCTCCTCCTCACCCTTCAGGACAGCTTTCTCTGACCACCCGACCAGGCCAGGCCCCCCATTGTACTCTGTACTTATCCTTCGGCTTGTGATTGCACGTTCATGTCCTCTTCCCTTCCAGTCTGAGAGCCTGTGAGGCAGGGGTGTATCTGTCCCATTGCCCCACTGCACCCCCAGCATGCAACACAGTAGCTGACCTTCAAGAAGGGTGAGACCTTCCTTTCCAGAGGTTACCCCCACTATACAGATAGTAACAGGAAGAGAAGACATTTCCCCAAAGCTGGTGGTGAATGGGCACCACAGAGCCCACTCTGGCCGAGGTCAGGAAGCCAGCAAGCCTGAACTCTTGTCCCAACTATCACCAACTCACCCTGGGACCTTGGACCTCAGTTTCCCTTCCACACAGTGAGAAGACTGGACTCAGGGATTTCTGAGGCCCTGCCCACTTCGACTAGAGCTGGTCCTGGGGTCAGTCCTGCCTGCTCAGGTCCAGCCAGCCCCCAGGGCCCTCAGGGAGCACTCACGGCTCTTCCTGGCACCAGAAGTGGTTGACAGCAAAAGCAATTGCAACGAGGACCAGGAACACAGCCACAGCGATGAGGCCCTGCATCCAGGGCTTCAGGTTTCCCAGACCTGGAGAGGGTAGAGGGTGGGCTGCAGCAGACTGGCCACAGGGGGCACTGCAAGTGCAGAGCAGGGAAAGGGGGAGCCTCATGCCCCAAGGGCTGAGGAGGCCATCAGCAGGCTGCCAGGACCAGAGGGGACATTCTGGGGTGGCAGGTTGAGAACGAGTGCCATGTGATCCCACCTGAGCTTAAGAAAGGACAGGGGTTTGGAGGAAGGAGGCTCAGAGAGAAGACAGGGCTTCAAAGAAGGGTTGAGAGGCTCAAGGAGGAAACAGGCCTCAGGGTACTGTCTGGAATCCAGGACAACCCAGAGACTCTTCCCCCACCACACTGGCCAGGTCACATGCAGGGGCCCCCCAGGGAGCACCCAGGCCCCAGGGACCAAAGGGCAGTCCTAGGCCTGCAAGCCCAGAATGGCTCGCCTCCTCCTCCCAGTTCCCAGCAGGCTGAGGGGCCATCCAGGGCTGACACAACTGTGCTGGCATCTGGGAGATCCTGTTCTGTAACAAGAGGTCCTTTTGTTGCTGGGGAGAGTGTAGGAGTGTAGGGCAGGCGGGGCTCCTCAGCTGAAGGTGCCAGGGTGCCCAGAGAGTGGTGCAGGGCAGGATGTTTTTGGAGAGGGAAGATGGTGTGGGGACAAGCTGTCCTCTGGGTCTAGAGGGGCAGGAAAGAAGCTTCAAAAGTTGAGCCCCTTTTGGCTCCCCCAGCTAGGTGCCCAGAGGACCAGGGCAGAAGGCAGGCGAAGGCCTTGTCTTGCCCTTTCTCTGCTTTTTTGACCTTTGGGCCTTGATACCACCTCAAATCCTCGAGATTTCCCAGAAGTCTCTTCCCTCAGTCCACTGACAACCCAAAAGGGCTCTTTTCTCCCCCTAGGCATCACTGTGCTCCCTGAGCCTGAGGCAGCTCAAGAGGAAACACTCATAGCAGGCAGAGGTCCCAGAAGGGGACAGAGGCCAACAGGAAGCTCTTTAGGGGTCCTGCCTCCGGGCCAAGCCACCTATACCCCCAGTGCCATCCCATACTTTGACTGAGCCCAGGCTGAGCATCAAAAACCTCACTCTGCCTCAGTCCTGCTCAAAAGTCCTTCCTTAAGTCTACCCTAAAGCTTTCCTGTTGCAACGAAGGTCTTACCCCTTCTCTGAGCTTCTCTGAGTCTCGCAGGTATTGGGAAGAGAAAGGACACTCTGGCCTGTGGCCAGGTCAGACCTCACTTATCTTCAAGCATAACACAGCATATTCCATGTGGTTACCCTGAGTTCCATACTTGCCAAAAAGCAGCGTTTTGGATTCACTGTTTTCCCCAGAGAAACAATGGTTCCGACCCATGCTTCATCAGATCAGTGGTTGCTCAAGGGTTGGGAGTTAGGGACTACCTCTCCCTGCTTCGTCCAGACCCTGCAGCAACTCCCCCCAGACACACTAGGGACCACAGTCCCCTGTTCCTCCTTTCAGGTGGCATCTGGATGGGCACATGGAGCAAGGGGCAGAGCCTAAGGCAAGAGAAAGGTGGCCTGGGTCCTGTGCCTTCTTGTTCTGCTGTGTGACCGGCACAAATCACTCAACCTCTCTGGTCTTCCATTCCCCCAGAGGGCTTCCAAGACTGGAAGCAGACATTCATGAGAGCTCAGGGCACCTAAGCAAAAGAGAGGGTGCTCTGGAAGCACCTTTACAACCCTCTCTGGACCCAAGTCTCACCTGCAGAGTCCCCAGACTTTGGCTGCAGGCAACAGTGTAGGGCGGGTGCCAGACTTTAGGGTGTGGTGCTAACTGTGTGCAGAGCCCTTCCACAGCCTTGAATAGCAGCCCTGGGAGGTGGGCAGGGTGGGGTTTATTGTCCTCATTTTATCCGTGAGAAAACTGAGTCTCAGAGAGGGGCAGTGATTTGCTCAAGGCCACACAGCAAGATAGAGTAGAGCTGAACAAAGAGCTAAGGTGGATAGCAGGGGCCACACTGGGGCACTGGCTCTGCCTAAGACCAGGAAGCTAAAACAACAAAGACCTAGATCAAAGCCACAGGCAACCTCTGAGAGCACTGCCCTAACTTTGAGGGGCTTCGTGAACCGTATTTGGAACCTCACTCCCACCCTCTTTATAGCCCCTGACTCCTGTCCTCAGGACACAGCCATCTCTAGGGCAATTCTTGCTCTTGGAGCTTGGATCCTAACTCCTATTCCTCCCCCCAAATCCTAGACGCAACATTTTCCTTGCTGCCCCCATTTCTCACTCATGGAAAGGAAATCTCAGACAGAAGGCTGGCTCTGCCTTTGTAGCTTTTCTCCCCTACTAGCTTAGTCCCTGCTTCTCCTCTCCCCACCCCAAACTACAGGTGTCACCCCCAAAAGACTACCCCCAAGGACTCCTGGGTTACCAGTGCCCAGCCCAGCCTCTCCTCACCACATCCACTAGGGCTGGCCCTGTCCTGTGCTACCTTGTTGACAGCTGGCAGGTGGCACGGCTGTGAGCAGACCCAGAATGAGCAGGCTGAGAGCTGACATGGCTGCAGGCAGCTCCTGGGGCTTTCCTTCCAGCCACCGTGTCTGGGTTCCAGGTGCTGCTCTAGGTGGCTGTCTGTCTTCAGTGTCTGCCTGGGCTCAGCGGGGCTCGGTGTGTCCCTGGAGGAGAGGAGCTAGTAAGGAAGAGAGTGAAGGAGGGAGGAGGAGGGAGAGAATCTGCCCTCCCTCCCATGGTAATAAGCTGCTGGGACCTGGCCTCCTCTGGCCGGTACCCAGCCTACTGGAGCTGGCATTCAAGGTCATCTTTCAGCGGCTGGCTAAGGAGGCGGGTCCACAGACCAGGAAGATGTGGGGAGAGTCCTAGCCTCACCTCCAAGCCCCGGCCTTCCCCAGAGGTTCTGCCTAAGTTCCCCATTCCCGGGAAGTTGGGTTGGGCTCAAGTAAAGAAGTGACACATTGTCCCTCCTGTTTCAAATGAGCCCAATGGGCGGGGCCTATTGGAAGGCTGACAATGGGATGAAAAAATGTGCCGTCTGGCTTGGGGAGCATGTGGAAAACCCCAGAGGCCCTAGGAAGGCTCCAAGCTGTCCACTGCCCCCAGGACCTGGCCTATTTCCTGTTCTCACCATCACCTGTCCTTGTTCAGCCAAGCCAGACCCTGGGGACCCAGTCCTGGGACATAATCCCTGCCTTCTATGACCCCCTGGCCCAACCAGTAGCTCTCAAAATCCACCTTCTCCCATGGTGATCACCACAGAGGGCCTGAAGTTCCCAGCCCCAGACTTCCCAACCCGGACCAAGCCTCTATCCAGCCCAGCTGACCTTTGCCTAGTTCAGCTCTTCCTCTTGACCCCAGATGTGGTCCCTGGAAGCAGCACGTGGTTCTGTCCATAAAGTCCCTAGGAAGGGCTCTCTCAGACAAGACCGGGGCTTGATCAGAGGCCTCCACATCCCTGGCCTCCCCTGGCCGGTGCCCAGCCCACTTGAGCTGGCAGAGGGCAGAGAATGGGTGCGCTCAGCCCTGCCTCTGGAGACCCAGGCTGAGGTGAAGGAAGGACACCCCCAGGTGGCCCAGAGTCTCTGAGTCCCCAACCCTCCTAACTGGGAGCAGCTTTGAGGAAGGCCCACTATTCCCCAAATGGGAGGCCCTGGAGTCAGACTCTTCAGAAGAGGCAAAAATCCCCAAGGATCACATACAGCCCAGCAGGCTCTCCAGTTCAGGGACTGAGAATGACCCAAGCAACTGTGGAGGCCTAGGGCCAAGACTCGTGCTGGGTCCACTTGATTCACTCCATCCCAGGAGTACGTGAAGCCAAAGATACTGGAAGTCCAGCTCCACAGACACCAAGAAAGAAGGAGCCAGGCAGACTAAGGGCAAAGTCTCAGAGATGGAGGGTCCCCAGAAGCCAGTAGCCCAAGGGCAGCAGGATGCCTCTCCACAGCTTTCCCACCAGGAGGCTGCCAATTACTATTCAGGATGGTTCTGCCAGTGGGAGCACTCAGACATCACACTTCCTCCCTGCTTGCTGTATGTGTGTGTGCACACGTGTGTGCAGGGGAGCCCATTACCATCCAAAGGTAGGGTGTCTCAAGTTGAACTAAGGAAACTTTGCTTGGAATTGAGTAATGCCTCCCACGTATGCATATCTTGCTCCTCTCCCCCCACTCCATCCCCTCATCCCCACTTGGTGTCCTCAAAATCTTCTGGCACAAAGTCTGGCTAGAGCAGGCACAGTAAGTGTTAATGAACAGCCAGGTACTCGCTGACTGGAATGTAAAAAAGAAAAAAAAAAAAAAACAGTGCCATCGAGTCAATTCTGACTCATTGTGACCCTATAGGACAGAGTAGAGCTGCCGTAGAGTTTCCAAGGAGTGGTTAGTGGATTTGAACTGCTGACCTTTTGGTTAGCAGCCAAGCTCTTAACCACTGCACCACCAGGGCTCCTGACTGGAATGTAAGGAACAGGGTTTAATTTCACAAACACTCACTGATGCCTTCTTCAAGGGTTTTAAGCAAGGGAGTCACATGGTCAGGTTTGCATTTGAGAAAACGCCTGGGCACACAGTGTAAAGAATGAAAGGGGAGTGGAAAGTGTGGAGAAAGAAGGGAGGCCGCTACAATAGCCACACAACAAATGACAAGGCCTGCACCTGGGGAGTGACATGGGAACGGACTTGAGCTTTATTTAGGAGGTAGAATAGACAGGACGTGATTGCTAGAACACGGTGACACAGAAGTGGGTGGTGAGGTAGAGGGAGGAGCTGAGGGTGACTCCCAGGTTTCTGGCTTGAGCACCTGGGTGGATGTGGTGCCTTGGAAGGAGCTGGAGCAAGTTTGGGGGCTGGGGAGGATTGGTGAGCTACAGGCCTAGATGGATTGTGTTTGTGATGTCTGTGGGCCCTCCAGAGGGAGCCGTACAGAAGGCTCTCAGATCCATGCATCTGGAGCTCAGGGAATCGCCTGGAGCAGAGAGCTAGATCAGGAGTCACCTGTGGCACAGGAGTGGTGACTGTGGCGTGGAAGTGTGTGGCCTCCCCAGGAAGTGTGTGCACAGTGGGACGAATTCAGCGAAAAGCAGGGGAGCAGAGGGACCAGGACACAACCCCAACACTAAGGCCTTTCCAAGGAAGAGGAGGCAGGAGGAAGAAACTCAGATGAGGAGGGTGTCCCAGTAGCCCAGTAAGGAGGGATCCAAGAAGGGGCAGGCAGGGAAGTCACTGCTGTGACCCTCCAGTCTAGCCAGTCCCCCCTCGGGGGCAGCCCAGCCTCCCTCCTCAGTCCTCAAGTCCCAGGTTCTGCCTCTGTCACCCAAACCTCCCCATCTTCCCTAAAAGCAAAGAACCTGGGGAAGTGCAAGGGCTCCCTGAATGATGATTTGGGGGGGAGGGTAAAGGGAGGGAGAGACAAACAGGAAGGACATCAGGTGACCAACAGGAGAAAAACACACTTCCAGGGTCAAAGTCCCAAGCTTTAGAGCAAAACAAGTTGTTCCGGAAAAGGGGGGAGTGGGGGATGTGGATGAACACTTGGCTTTGAAGCTGGTCCCTGTCCCACTGGAAGTCCTGAGCCAGCTGAGGGTGTTCATCTCCCCAGCTGTACAGACACAGCCCAGGGCCCTCTGCTGGCCTGGCTTGGGCCCAGCATCTGGACTCAGGCCTCAGCAGCCTCACAGGGCTGGACCCTGTGTCCTCATCTCAGAGCAGCAGCTCCATCAGCACTCAATTCCTCCTTCCTGTTCCCAGCCCCAGCTCTGCCACTCCAACACATCAGGCCCCCTTGGACAGGCCCTCCACCTAGCTAGACCTTCTGTGATTTCCCCCTCAGAAAAGCCAAAGTGGGCCTGGTTTATTGCTAGGGGTCTCCTTCCTCCCTGGAGCCCTGGTTGCACAGTGGTTAGAGCTATGGCTGCTAACCAAAAGATTGCCAGTTTGAATCCACCAGCTGCTCCTTGGAAACCCTGTGGGGCAGTTCTACTCTGTCTCATAGGGTCACTATGAGTCGGAATAAACTTGACGGCAACGGATTTGGTTTTTTTGATCCTTCTTCCCCACCCTGCTCTGCCTACCATTCCACTTGCTGCAAGCAGGAGGCAGTGTGCCCAACTCCAATCCCAGACTGGAGAGGTCCAGGTCCAATTTGCTGGTGGAGATTCTGCAATTTCCCCCTCTCTGCAGCCCCCATATAGGAGTTGGAATCAACTCGACTGCAATTGTTTTTCTTTTCTTTTTTTTTTTTTTTTTGGTGCTAGCCCCCTACTCCTGCCCTGTTCTAAGGGGTGATTTGGAGGAAGAGAGGGTGGACACTGACACATGAACAGTGAATAACAGTGCACATGGCATGCCCAGGGCTGTGAGGTAAGGAAGCCGGGCAACTAAGTTGTTAAAGAAGGCATCCCAGAGCAGATGATGCTAGGAAAAGAGTTAGCTGGATTGTTGGGCTGAGCAGAAAAAAGCTTGGGGAAGGTATTCCAGGCAGAGAGCTCAGCCTGAAGAAAAGCAGGGAGACACACTCCCAACAGATCTGCAAGCAAGTGGTTTAGAGCAGGCTGAAAAAGATACAGGCTTTTTTTGCTGAGAGCGCCTGGGGACCTCGTTGTATTCATTTAATAGATCTTCATTAAATCCTTTGGGAGCTTCCAATTGCTCTTAAAATCTTAATTTCTTAGCATGAGTTTGAAAGGTCCCTTTCAGTTTGCCTTTGGAGTCCCTGGGTGGTGTGAACAGTTAACATACTCAGGTGCTAACCAAAAGGTTCGAGTCTACCCAGTGGCACCTTGGAAGAAAAGCCTGGTGATCTACTTCCGAAAACTCAGCCATTGCAAACTCCATGGAGCACAGTTCTCCTCTGACACACGTGGGTCGCCACGCGTCAGAGATGACTCAACAGCAGCTGGTTTGTGGTTTGTCTGTCTTTATTCCCCTTCACAGTCTCACCCGGCCCCCAGTGCCTTCTGGTCTCTTCCCAACAAGAGCCAAGCTCTCCCCACATTAGGGCCTCCTGCACACTTGCTCTTCCCTCTGATTACTGCACTCTTCCCCTTCTATCTCCTATTTGCCTGACTGACTTTAACATATCCCTCAAGTCTCACCTTAAATGTCCCCTTCTCCAAGAGGCCTTCTTCGACCTCCCTTCTCCCCCAGCTGAAGTCAGTCTGCTCTGTAGTCCCTCTCTTAATACCCTGCTCCTTTCTTTATAGCTGTCATCACAAACTGCAGTTACATAATGATTTGTGTGTTTGCCCATTTAATATCTGTCTCCCCAAAGGGAAGGCATCAAGTCCGTTTCACCCCCATATCCTAAGCACCTAGGACTGAGCGCAGTGCCTCAGCACACACTCAACAAATATTTTATGAAATAGAATCTCAGTATACCCCGTGTCTAGCTCTAGGCTGGCAGAGAAGGAAACTCGGAGAATGATTGTTGAATGAACAGGACATTTTAGTTCTAGTTGGGTCCTTGCCTCTCCTCTCTAGCTATGGGAGCAGAGACTGGGTCTGATTCATCTCTGTCTACAAATGAGAGGACCCAGTCACCATTCCTC